ATCCTTGAAAGGTGCTCAACCTGTCACCACCCCACCCAAAAAAAAATAAAAAAATGGCTCCTAAGAGTTTTTTTTTATAAGCTAACAGCTTACTACAGGAAGCCAGAACGGGTCAGAACCTCAGACAGGTGAAGGCACTGATGTGAACTTGTAAATGCATTGATGTGATTGTTGACTGTTCTCCAAAGCTTTGTTGTAATGTGTAGAAGTCTACACCTGATTGTTTGGGAAACTCATTTTTTCCACAACAATTGGATTTAAAATTGAATAAACCCAATTTAGCAAAAGCAAATTTTGCTAACAGTGTCCAAAGTTTGCAAAAATGCTAATCTGTTAAACAAAACGTTAGTTTCACTATTATTAGCAGATCTGTGCCCACCACTGTTAAAAATAATTTAAGTACAGCAGTTTTCACAGGGGTAAATGTGCAGATCTATCCATCCAGTCATCCATTCTTCTTCTGCTGTTTATCCATGGTCCTGCACAGTCCAGGGGGAAAACACAGACTTCCCTCTCTTCAGCAACATTCTCCAGCTTCTCTTGGGGACCAGCCCTGTGCTGTACCCATGCCCACACTTTTTGATGTGGAGGAGCAGTAATATTGTCATTAAGTTTCATACATCTTCATACATCTCCTCCTACATGTCTCTGCGTGAGTGCAGCTACAGCGTGCGCTCTCAGGACATTATTACCTGCAGTGTTCTCTCAGTGTGGACTGAACTAGGCAAAAGGACTTTCTCCTACTCCGCTCCTGTTTCCTGGAATATCTTGCAAAAAGACCTGAAGCTCTCGACCTTGACCTCTCTAAGTGGCTTTAAAAATCTGTTGGACTCCTGGCAGGGACCAACGCAGACATGTTCCTGTTTTTAGTTTTCAACATTCACCTTATAATCTAGCTGTTTTTGTTACTTTTTTTGCCATCGTATTTGTAAAAAAATAAAAAAATAAAATCTGTATGCCTTTTAATAATTGTCTACTGTTGTCGCTGTTGTCATCACTCTTTGTTGAAATCAGGTCTCTCTTATAAATGAGTCCTCGAGGCTCAATGGGATTTACCTGTCTAAATAAAGGTTGAATGAAAAAAGTTTAAATAATAAACATGAAAACATGTTTTGTGATAGAGGTTTTGCAGCTACTCGACATCAACACTTGAATTTAACTTGTGATTTTTTAAAAATTCCCAATTATTTAAAAAAATCTAAAAACAGTTTTTTTCATGTGCTTTCATAATCTCTAGTCCAGAGGACCTCTGCTGGTTTGATTGATAATGTTTCAGCTCAAAGCAGCATTCAAAAGCATGCAGAAAACCATAGACCAGGTCCACAAGTCATTTTACCATGTTTATTTTATTATTATCAACCAAAAGCAAAGGCAGAAAAGAGTTTTTTACTCTTGTCTGTGTGTGTGTGTGTGTGTGTGTGTTTATTTTGTTCTAAGACAGGGCTGAATGAGGAAGATGTAGATGTGCACACACTTTTTCAGCATGCGAGCTACTTTTAAAATGTCCAAGTCAAAGTGATCTTCCTTCTATAAAAATACAAAACATACATTTATTTATAAAAATATTAAGTATTCTTTATTTGTACATTATATGTTGATGTACCTTGTGCATTAACCTATATTGCACAATACAACACTATACATTATTTGTCATTACCTTACTCTAATGACTTGCACTGAATGGAATCAGCCAGGGATGCGTAGTCTGGACAGTATCTGCTGAGCCAGCCTCAAGCACACTTCAAGACCATCATCAGTCATGGTGGAATTATATTTGGACTTAATAATCTTTATGTGGGAAAAGGCTGACTCTATATAAGTGGAGATGCATAATGCAGTCAAGGAGGTAACACGTTTCCTCATGTTCGGGCACTTTTCCTCTGTGAGTAAAATCTCTGTGAGCCCTGGCTTTTGAGCTGAATGTCAGCTTGTAGTGTCATCGGTAAACACCATCCGAATATAAATGCACAACTGGGCTGTGTCACTCACGTCTGTAAACTCGTACGATTGCAGTGAAAAAATCTCACAGGCCACAATATCCTCCCAAAGCCGCTGGGTCGAATCCTCTGACATGACTTCACAACGCCGTGCAACAGTACTTCTTGATACCTGGAGAGCTTTGATCGAAGATAATGTTTCTGGTTTGTTTTAAAAGTCTCGGAACAACGAGTCAGCTGCATAAACGAATGATTCTATTACCATCTCTCCATCTTTTTTTTTTTTTGAGCTCAGTTTAAGTGTAGAAACATTGTGGAGTGTTTCAATGAACTTATCATCATCGCTCAATTTTTTTATTTTTTTTTTGTTAAAGAAAGAGAAGAAAGAAGAATAAATAAATAAAAGATAACTAGATAAAACGAGAGACCACCATGACAAAACAACATGCACAGCACAATGCCACCCACAATATCACCATGAAACATTCGACATCGCACAAGGACCATCTCTCCATCTTGAAAAGACTTCTTGGGCTTAATGAAGTGACTCACCCAGAATGATGCTTCGGTAGCTGCCTTAGCTTTTGTGGTCAGCTGCAAGAAAAATGACTGCTGTCTGGGTAACTGGGATTTTAGTTCCTTCACCTTTTGCTTTTCTTAGCTCACTTTTCAGAAGAAAGTCAGTGTTGTAGTTTTTATGAACAGTCTGGAAATGCTACTGCACATTTCCCATCTTCAGGATAGCAATTGTAGACTGGCTGATGAGGCAAATGCTACAAATGCACTTCAAATAGGACATTGTGGAAAAACAGTCCTCCTCCCATTCTGTATGGAAATGGTAGATTTTTTGCTTCTTGATTGGTCCAGCTCCCCCACTCATTTTATACCCTTTCTTGAGTTTAGGTTAAAACAAATAAACTGGAGGCTAACTAGACAACTCAGTAGCTTGCTAGTTTTGGCATGGTTGTATGTGTGGTGACCTATGTGTCAGAATAGATCCGGTCTTACACTGGCGGCCCTATATGTATGTATGTATGTATGTATGTATGTATGTATGTATGTATGTATGTATGTATGTATGTATGTATGTATGTATGTATATCAAGTGACAAATTTCATAGTGAGGATGAACGACAGGCTGATGTCTTTTTTTAATGTCATGCGATCTACTCAAACTACCTTTGCGATCGACTTGTAGATCAAGATCGACGTGTTGGACACCCCTGGTATAGATCAACACAGTCAAGTTGCCACGTAATAGTCCTGTTTAAAACAGTCATTGTCATTTAAATGATGTGTAAAATATTTTATCAACATCAAAATAACATATTGAAACTGATGACCTCACATATTCTTTACTGCTGATTATATTTTAGCACGTTAACATTTGTTTTGTTTGTTACCCAGTTTGAGTCGCACACGTTCAAATAAGTTAAATATACAGTCCATAAGGCCATTTCAAATTGGCTTGACTTCACAGGTTAAATATTTATACCTCTTACAATTACTTTGAGAGTTTCATTACAATCTGACCTCTGATTCATGAGATATTTTGCTAACAAACAGACATATATATATATACACACACACGCAAACAAGTCACCCACCTTTGTCTGTCAGCAGCAGGAGACAATGTCATCTAATTGTGGAGTTTGCATTTAATTGTCCATACAAATGTATGTGTCACTGCATCTCTGAGCCGTCGATCTTTCTACATATTTGTTTTCTTCTGACCAATGACTGTGGACACTGGATAACTTTGTTCACATGTTCACTCTTCGGTCCAACCTTCACTCATCAACTCAAATACAAGGTGCACTGAACTTTTCACAGTCAAGATACATTTTTCTCATTCTTCCTGATTACACACTCATGGCATTCAAAGTGTCAGGATCTGCCGACTGGCGTGTTTGAACCCACGTGCAGGAGGATGAAAACAGACTCCGAATAAAATTTAAACCAATTTTTATTCATAACAACAAAATCAAAATACTGACAAGGCAGTTTACTAAGACGAGGCGAACGGGACGGAAGGCAGACCGTGACACCATAAAGGACAATCCGGAGACAAAGACAAGACTCCAAGGAGCTGAATAAAAACACAACACTGACAAGGGGTAATGACGGGCACCTGCAGTGATTGATATTACACACAGGTGAGACAGGGGCTGAACACAAGGAGGGAAAACACTGAGAGGTGACAGAAAACACGAGGAAACAGACAAAGACAGCACAAAACTCTGAACCCCTACACAAAGATACAGTAGCTAAATAACATCACGTACCAGTAGTTATAAAACCTAAACAACTTTGATGTAGTAAAGTGATAGAGGCACACATTTACAGACTGAGAGAGATGTAAGTTACCAAGAAGTTAAGGTCCGAGTGACAAATTTTTATTTTTTTTTAAGCTTGAAATTGATTGATTCCAGGATTCAAGGTATTCTATACCTGGTATACTTGTGGTTCTAAAACAAACAGGTCACACATATTGGTGGATTTGGACTGGACAACACTTTGGGAAATCATGATTAAAAAAACGGAAAGTCTTCTTTCCTCACACTTTATACATTCCCCTTCTTTGTCACACATACTTTTAAAAGTTAAGATATTGTGTGCCAAGGAGAAACTTGGCTATTGACAAGAGGTTAAAAGTGGAAACATGACCTGCCCGTCTGATCTCTGTCTGTGGAAACTCAGCAACCCAAAAAAGGAGATTGGCTGCGGGTGAGGAATAAGTGAGTGGAAAAGAGCAGCCAGGCCACGAGAGTTTGGTTAGATAGGGTGGAGTATGTGTCAAGGAGAGTGATAGCTGAAGAGACAGGATGGAGTGAAAGCAGAGTGGTGATTGGATGAATGAAAGGAGCCATGGATTGTTCTGAGCCTCTGCAGGATGAGAAGAGGAGGAGAAAGATGAAGAGGAGAGGTTGATCACAGACTGGAGGCAGGTTCTGCTGCAGTCTAAATAACTATCCTTATAGGGCCACACTCTTCATCTCTTTTCACAGCTCTCTCTGTCTCCTTCCTCCTCTCTCTACCTTCTCTGTCTCGTTCTTTTCACTGTTTCTCTACAGCTTTACAACTCTTTCTCTATCCGTGTCTCCTCCAGGACTCAATTTCCTGCATCTCAGCGCAGCGGCACATAAAACTTTTCAAGGTGCTTTTTCCACATCTCATAGGGGACTTGAACTGATCTGTCACCATGGAGGCCATCAAGAAGAAGATGCAGATGCTGAAACTGGACAAGGAGAACGCCATTGACCGGGCCGAGCAGGCGGAAACGGACAAGAAGGCGGCGGAGGACAAATGCAAACAGGTGGGGAGAGTCAAACGTGATGCCAACTTAAAGTACAAACCCTGCAGTTTGAAGATGAGGCTCATGGTCATTCTTTGAAAAACACAAATGTGACACAAAAATATCTCATATAAATGAATAAATGTAAGTACTAATAATAGTACAGCAAAAAAAAAAAAAACTAAAACAAATACATTTACTTAGCATTTTTTTTTTCTCTTTATATCTAGTTTGTGGTATTGATATCATTACAAACACACCTTTAAGGAAACAGTCCAAAAATATTTCTAGACAAGTAAAAGATTATTGATCGTATTTTAATTCCTCTCGCTCTATTTATGACTGTAATTATCTCATCTCTAATGGGGCTGTGGTAGTTCAGTGGTCAGTGCCATGATCTTGTAACCCTGAGGCTACAGGTTTGAGTCCAGCTTACAGCAGGGATGACATCTAATGTAAATCAATTATCTTGATTGTGGGGATTTACTTGTTGTGGTGATCTCTGCAGAAGTGAGCAGCCAAATGACAAAAAAACAAATGTAATGGTTGAAGAATAAAATTTATACGAGGTTATTACGCAACACCAGCTTTGATATGGGTCAGCTCTGGTGATGAGACCACATCTGGATCAGCTATTTAAGGAGGTTTAAGTGATGAAATGTAAAGTGTAAACACACACCCACATACACACAGGCTCACGCACGTTCTTGCATTTCTGTCTTGTGAGGACTTTGCATTGACTTCCATTCATTTCTATAGCCTAACCCTGACCCTTACCCTAAACCTAATAATAATAATAATAATGTGTATGTGTTGTCATCATTGTATGCTCCCATACAATGGCGAAATTGACTCTCTGCATTTAACCCATCCACCCCCAGGTGGAGCAGTGGGCAGCTATTGAAAGTGCCCAGGGAGCCATTGGGGATAGGGTGTCCTGCTCAGAGACACCACGAGATGTGCAATGACTGGGGATCGACACTGGGACTTTCAAGTCCCGAATCGGCTGCCCTGCCTCTACCCCATCTCGGCCACCCTAACCATTACCAGTACATGCCTAACCCATCCGCAATTTACTCCTAAGTCCTAAACCTAACCCCTAACCCCCCAACGAGCCATCTTCATGGGGACCAGGCATTGGTCCCCACAAGGGGCAGTTGGTCTCCCCAGTGTAGGACTTTTTGCCAAATTGGTCCCCACAATGTAACCTGAAACAAAAACACACACACTTACTGAGGGTTAAGTGTTTGTCTTAATCAGTGTTATTCTCATAGCTCAAGAAGTGTGTCTGATAATCCAGCTGCATTCCACTCTCGTAAAGCCAAAAATATATCTGTTATCAGTCAGAACAGAGGTCTGGATTCACATGTCTAATGTGTCTTATAGTGTGTTTGTGTGGAGAAAGAGGTGTCATAAAAGTTTGTGTCAAGAGAGACTGATAGCTATTTAAGAGTTATCAAATGTCATAAATATGATTAGACAGTCAAATCAGCCCCAGTAACCTTTAGAGCCTTTGCTGTGGTGAGTGCAACACACATCTACTAAAACTGGTGATCAGTGTAGTCATTGATGTACATAGCAAGCAATACACAACAGAAGTAATTTTATTTGTTCTGTTGCAGCTGGAAGATGAGCTGCTGGACCTCCAGAAGAAGCTGAAGCAGACAGAAGATGAACTGGACAAATTCTCTGAGGGCCTAAAAGATGCTCAGGAAAAACTGGAACTGTCTGAGAAAAAAGCTGCAGATGTGAGTTAAGGGCGGCACACACATACACACCCATAGGAGATCAGAAAATGTGAGCTTTCTTTTGTGTTTACTTTGTTAATGAGCTATTTCTATCAAACATCACAATACAGACTTTGTCTCAGGTGGTCATTTTTTTACTGTTTTCATTGCATTTGTTGTCACATCAGTTGCAGATAGTTTACACTGAACTGATTCAATGGTACGCTTCCAGAAAAGTTGTGGTCAAGCCTAAAAATTACATGCAATATGTTCAAAGCAAATATGTCTCTTAACATAGGAAGGACATAATAGGCTTCTAATACACCTATAAGGTTTTTCTTGATCTATTACAGACCATGTATTTACCCATAAATAATGGCTCAAACAAAATATTTATGACATTATAGAATCAATATATCATATCTAAAGATAACAAAGTCCATGCTCAATAATCCAGGTATATAATCCAACATTTTTCAGTCAGGTCATCTGGACAGTTTCTTTTTTTTTTTTTTTTTTGTGCTGAAACGTTTCGCCTTCGGTCTGGAAGGCTTCATCAGTCAAGGAAACACACAACAAAACTGATTCTTCCCCCTAGAACTTACTCCAAAGTGGAACAAACCAGTTCTGCTTGTGATAAGATGGTCTCTTTGGTACGCCCCCTCCTCCATTGCCGGCCCTCTTCCTTGTTGACAAGTCCCCAAGTTTGACAAGACTGTCAAGACTATATATAAGACTATATATATATATAATTTTTGTTTTCATTTACCCTTTATTTAAACAGGTAATCTCATTGAGTCACAAGAACTCATTTTCAAGAGAGACCTGTTTATTTGGGAGCAAATGGTGGGGTTAAAGGCCTTGCTCAGGGTTCAGAGTGGGGCAAATGAGGGTAGAGACAGGTGTGGGTCTTTCACCTTTTCCAACCACATTTGGATGTTGACTATACGGAGTTGAATCTGCGACTTTCTCATCTTCTCTAACATATATATATACATATATGTGTGTGTGTATATATATATATATATATATATATATATAATGATACGTCTACAACTGAGAATATATATATTTCTATATAGATATGTACAATACCGGTATATGTTTTCAAAGGGATATCATTGTTATTTTAGATAACCCAGGACACGGCATGACTGCCCAACCCTAAGGGCCAACTCAAATACTGAATCTTCAAGATGAGTTTAAATATTGACTCAAGGCTTGTGCTCTTGTCGTCAATAACTTGCTTTGTGAAAACACACACACATTCAAGTCTTTCAAAGCAGCACACTTTCGGAGATGACCATTGTTACACATTTGATTTCATTTTATAATTCTTACGTTCAGTGGTCCTCCCAAGGATTTTAATGTTGTAGTGTTTTAACGGTGCAACAATTGAACTCAACATATGAAACAATTATTTTAAGTTTTATTGCTTATCATGACAAACATGGGCGGCATGGCAATGCAGTGTCAAGAGCTCTCACCTCTCCGTGAGAAGGTTGCAGGATTGCCTCCTGGCCTGAGGCCTAGGTGAAGTTTGCATGTTCTCCCCGTGCCCACCTGGGTTTTCTCTGGGTATTCAGGTTTCATCCCACAGACCAAAAACAGGCATCTTAGGTTAACTGGTAACTCTAAATGTTCCTAGGTGCAGAGTGTGAATGGTTGTTTGGCTCATTCAGGTTCCAGACTGATTTTTGAGACATTGCACTGGTTGGTCTGGCTACTTTAAGCTCAGGTTTTGGAATCCAGGGTAGTACAAGAAATTATATATATATATATATATATATATATATATATATATATATATATATATATATATTTAAACATTTAGTTATACAACCCATGCCAACAATGAAATTATCTTCGACATAATAATGTTCTTTTTACAAACTGCAAATAATTTTTGCATTTAGATTTTTAACATTTAGTATTAAATTTAACTAAAATAATACCTCTTTAAACGTCACCATTGTTCCAGTAATCTACAACAACCAAACTTACAGTATAAGAAACATTTATCTTATATCTTCATTTTGAGAGTTTAAAGATAATTAGCTTTGCTATGACTTTTGCACTACTTTGTGCAAGCTCAAGAGTTTTTACTAATGCTCCACTTGTTTGGTGTAATGTATAAAAGTCACAACAAGCCAACTAATGAAGTCTAATCCAATTATTTCCATGGATTTTGAGTGGAATAATTTGGTGCATACAAGGGCATTGAATCTCTAAAACTTTTGGTCTTATCTCTTAATATGAGGTTGAGTAATATGAATATTTTTTTATTGGTAGTATTTTCAAACTTGTTTTCTTAAAGTCTCATATTTTTATTTTGAGAAAACATTTTTGTCTAAACAAAAAATTCAGTAAAGCAAGCAGAACATTAAATAAAGCATTTCTTTATTTATTCAGCATTACCTGAGGGGGAACGGGTCATATTTTAAGTTGTGGGCATCACCACAAACCACAGTGCAGTATTTCTGTCAGATCCTCTGGCATTTAACAGTGTGTGCACATGAGTGTGTTTGAAAGTTTGTGACAGTGTTTGTGTGTGAAAGACAATCCGAAGAAGTCAGAACTAATCAAAGTCCAGAGTACAGTTTGCACAGAGTAAAAGCCACAACAACAACAACAACACAACAGCTTTCCAATGCTTCACCAAGATGGATTATCATTGAAATCTCATGGAGGATATCCCAGGGAAATGCAGCTCAGGACTTTCTACACTCAAAAGTTCTTACCATGCACCCAGTTGGAGTCCGACTCATGCTGTATTATCGTCACGTAGATTCAAATAAACTCTGAAAACAACCCAGGAAGGTCACGTATGTAAAAAGTGGGTCAAGTTGGTGAAAACTCTTGCTAAAGTTGTTTGGACATGTGTCCCCTTCACTCTTCGGTAACTTCCAATGAAAAGATAGTTTAAATAGTCCATTTCTTTTGTTTCAAAGGATGCTAACTTCCAGTGAAGGTGCACACATTGAAATCACAAGTGGAGAAGCTGAACTGCTCCACTTCTATAAATTCCCCTCTACATATCATTAATTAGAGGCAAGCCACCACACAGAAAAGAAACCTGGAGGCTACTGGGAAACCAGAGCATTAGATCATTACTGAACAAGGAGTTATATTTTATAAAATAGGATGAGACCAGCAGCATAGATACTTAGGTCATCTATTTATTGTTAGCTTAAACTAACCAGACAGAGCCTTTAACAATATGTGCAGCTTCTAGAGATCTAAAGGTGAGACCAATCAGTCATAGTGCATGATCTGATAACTGGTTCACAGCAGCAACCATTACATTTGTCCAGGGAAAGCTGCTCTGTGGTGGTCATCCGTGTGGAGAAATCAGAGAGCAGGCCTGGGAACTCTGGTATGTGAGGAATGCAGCCAAGGCAAACAGAAAGTCCCACACTCCTGTGTCTAATGAAATCAATGCCTCCAGCTTTTCCGGTGCGAGGGGCAAATTAGAGAAAGGGGTTCAATTCCAGCATGAGTCTGACTGTGAGAGATTCTTCTTGCGGTAAACAATATGTCTGTATCTGGGCAAAAGGGTGGATTCTGCAGCGTGAAACAAGAGATGATATGGATGAATATAGACAGTGACACAAGAAAAAGCATGAAGAATGGAGCATAAATCTGTTTTATACCCACACATTGGACATCACTGGTATGCAGAGTGATGATAAAGATGCTTGTTTGCCTTCCCCTTCATGACAAACACACATGGTTCTTCAAAAATGAAAAAGTTATGATAAATGGGGGCATGGGCGAAGGGTCTGGGGGTCCTCTACCAGAAAATTTTGAATAAAGTAGATGAGATCTCCTGCATTTTGGTGTATTTTAATGGGTTATTAAACATCTACGTTTACCTACATTTGTAAACACTCCACTTTTGTCAAGCATCCTACCCCCTCCCCTTTTACTTGACGGTGCCGAACCAGACTCTTCTCCATTGACTTCACTGTTGTGCGATTCCACATGTGAAACCTCCAGGCACCTCCTCCGTCTGTTCATTGCTGTTGCCTGCATACAAATGCCTGGTTAGCTCTGCGCTCACCCCCACCACTATTTTAGGGATGGAGATTTTTTTAAGCGTAGAAGCGGAAATGCTACTTGAAAGAGCAGCTTGTATGTGGCATTAAGAAGCTCATAAGTGACTGTTGTGTTTAAAATGAGTGTTTATGTAATTATTTTCAGTGTACATATCCAACATAAATTTTATTTGTTCAAGGCTGTCATATTTGTTCATAACTTTATTATTAGTAAGCCTGAGAGTTATCAGATCCAAACAAACAGTTACCAGAACACACTCTGTCAAAATGAGAGAGTTCCTGGATCCTGTCCCGGCAGGATCCGGCTCAAATTAAGCACTGGGCATATGGTGTAAATACAATAAAAAAAGTATCATGCAAGTTTGCTCGCTGTGACGACCACTGACAAAAGAAGCAGCCTAAAGGAAAAAAAATATTTAAAAATTGAGCGCCGACGAGTGTGACTCTCCAATATCAACAGGAAAGTCAAGCTATCTGAAACTGCAAGAATTTATACCTAACCAACCACACCATTGCACCAACTGCACCATTTGTTAGCGGTAAAGGAATTTTCAAGCAGCCACTGATGTGGTTGCAAACAATTGGGATTGGCTGGGATCATGCATTTTTAAATACATTTGAAAGAGAACAGGGTGATTAACTTCAGGTGCAATGTGTGGATTTACAGACAATAATTCAGCTGTGGCTGAATGGTTGGAGCAGTCGTCCTCCAATAGGAGAGTTGGGGGTTAGATTCCACCAGCAGTTACATGTTGAAGTGTTCCTGGGCAAGACATCGAACCCCTCATTGCCTCTGATATGTGTCCCATCGGTGTATGAATGTGATCTAAAAGCACTGATTAATCTCTATTGAATGATTTGTTCAATTAGCTTTGTAGAGGTGTAATAAAGCACTGTTTGAATGTGTGTGTGGAGGTAAATGAGGGCACAGATAATAGTGTAAAGTGCTTTGAGTATCTTGAT